GATATATATATATTCAATATTTAAATAGAAATGTAGTCAAGCCATTTCATTTAGATTTTATTGAATGAGAACAGGCCTTGGCATAGATAACTCATAACTATTGTTGCAATTTTGGTATATTATTGCTCAATAAGAGATACATTTTATACATAAAAACATATTATCCAGCTATTCAATAAGAGATTCAATTTATATGGATATATATCATTAGAACTCTTGCGAGTCAACCCAAATAATTTGGTCACATTTCAAACTGCTGTCATGACACTGCAATTAACAATATAATTTGTGTTCGACTATTGTGGTTTGCTCCATTTAATGTTAGAATTGGCCATGAGCTGGGATCAAATAATATTTTGAAATGCCATAGAATATCACATGACAATGACAATTAAAGCGATTTGAAATTACTCTCAATTATACTCTAATCAAATGACTGGTTTATCGAATCGAATTGAATTAAATACTCTATGCACACTGTATTTATGCAATTGCTAAGATTGCAGACGAAACTTTATACGTTCAGCTGAATTGCTGATGCACTGCATGTGCTCGGAGGGGGAAGGCAGCTCAGCTGCTTACACGTAATTTATTTTACATTTTCTCAAGGTACATAGAACAAATAAACAGAAACAACAAGAGTAAAATATCGTAAAACACAAACTCTCTGCAGTGACTATGTGAGAATGTGAGAATGTGAGAATGTGATATTTCGAATGCTGCAGCTGCTGCAACTTCTTCCAGCAGTTATTAATTGTAAAAGCTTGCCAACTTGTGTGTCATTGTACAGCTGGAGCAAAATACGAAAAGCTCCTCAATTTCGTATATGCTCTAGCAAGGCCTTAGCTAATATGAATGTACCATGTGACAAGAGTTTAATTTGCCAGAGTTTTTAATCAGGCATCAATTAAGTTAGGCATTGGCAAAAGTTGGAAATTGCTCATAGCTAATCGAGTACAGGGTATCTGCTAGTCGGCCAATTAGATCAGTTTAACTCATTTGCGGCTCTGCTCCGGCTCTTCAGCGAAAAACGGAAGTTCTTTGTGTGCGAAACAAACTTGAAGAGTGCAGGCAACAACTACAACAACCGCAAAAGCAATTGTGCAATTACAACAAAATGCCTGCATGTGCACGCATGCATGTGTGTGTGTATGTGTGTATGCGTGTTTGGGTGCATTTTTATATGCCATCGTATGCGTGCGTGTAATTTATGTTTTCAACTTAATTAAAGTTAATTTTTAATGCCGGGCGTGGTCGGCAGGTCTGCGGGCATGGGCGTGTCAACTGGCTCAAAGGCGCTCGCAAACATTTTAACAACACTTGGCATTTCATGCTGGTGACATTAAACAGCATCAGCATCAGCAGCAGCAGCAGCAGCAGCAGCAACTGCAACTTTTGTCATGCAATGAGGTCAACAATGAGCGGCCGCAAAAAAGTATGCTACATTTTTTTTGCTACTTGCCTCTCTGCTTTGCTCTGCTCCGCTCGCCACGGCTGTTTAATATAAATGCCAATTAAATGCATGTTGCTCGTTGCAATAAAAAAGGTCACCTGGAAATGGCACAGCTTAATTATAAATAACACAACACAGGCACAACAACAACTATCAATAATTAATTAAGAATGAATGAATAGCCGGCCCTCTTGATATGCATATAAAAAACTCACTTCACGAGAGAAAAGTCTTTTTCTCCGAAAGGAATTTTCGCTGCAGACCTTCAAGTCTGTTGCCTATGAGAGCCTAATAAAATAAATTATATTTTAATAATATTGTTGATAAGATTGAAAATAAAACTAACCTATTTTAAACTGATTGTAGGTAATTATTGCATTTTTAATAATTCTGTAAGATAAACTATTTTCATGAAATATAGACAATTTTAGGCAGTCATAGTTAAATACTTTAGCAGAACTTTTGAGAAGTGAAAAACTGAAATAACTACGTAGACCCAAATTAAACATTTGTTAATAATGCTTTAGTTTTTTTATTCATCTTTTGTTTTACAGTTTTCAGTAGTTGATCCATTGCAACACCGTTGTCAGATATCGTCTGTATATGGTGATATGCTGTCAAAACTCAACGGGCAGTGGCTATGTAGAATCTGCTCGCAGTTCTCCTCGCGCATATACGGAATGTGATGTTTCTCGTGATCCTCAAGGCTAATAATAAAAAATAAATAAATAAAAAACAAATAAAATAAATTGTGCAGCTTCATTGACAATCGGATCCTAACTTACGTAAACATATATCTAAATAGTTTGTATAAGAAACCCTGACTATCGTTGCCAGCTAATGCTGTGCAGTATGCTTTAAGGGCACAGGCTTGGCCATCGAAGCCACTGCGGTCCATTAGCTCCTGGACCAGCTCATATGTGTCCCTTCTGAAGGGTCGATTCTCATGCTTCACCAATATCGGWGTGTTGGCTCGAAATCCAAAGCCATGCGCCCAAATAGTTGGGCTTGCTATCACATTGTTCTTGACATTTATGCGAAACTTCAAATGGAAAGAGGCATTTGTTAGGCAAACTCGAATGGCAAGTTAAGCCTCTGCTGCTCGATTGTTACCCACAAATATACGAGACGTCTCAATTATGTCCAGAAAGCGTTTGGCTCGACTATGCGGAGTAGTTGCATTCAGCTGCACAGCCACAGTCAAGTTGACCAAAGCAGCTGTAAGCAACAGAGAAACCTGGAGAATGTTCATTGCTGAGGCTGCAGCCAGAGAACTGAACTAAACGCAGCGTGACAGCAGCCCGGGCAGTTACAAATGTGACAAACGCAGCAGATTCTTGTTGAAAATTCAAACTGGTTCTGACAATAACATTGATTACTACTAGCCTGCTAAGTGCTCTAACTGTGCCAATTTCTGTACTACTGGGACAATTTGACGCTACCATGCGAAATGAATTCAGCAAGTGTGTATGAAACTGCTGAGGTCTTTGACTACATTTCTTTGCAAACTAATTTGTGCTCTTGGAAAACAAATCCTAAACTAATCTATTGTGCATAAGCCATCAGTCATGTTGGTGGATCCTACACTATACTCACCTAAATATTAGCTTGAGTAGCTTGAACAGCATTCCGCTCTTTTGATGGGGCTTATCAACATCCAAAATGGCCGTGCAGAAGGATTTCAACAAGCAGGCGCGTCCATCAAAGCCATGGCTAAGCAGAAACGATGCTTGATTGAATTATACAAGAAAAGGTAGCATGATGAGTGAGTACTTACCCATCCAGGGCAGATTCCAGTTTTGAGAACAAGTCGCGCTTGAACAGAATTCTGTTTTTCTGGCGCTGCTCCTTGGCATCAGGAAATGGATAGTTGGCACGAAAGCCATAGCCATAGGCGAAGAGTGTATTGATTTTGAGCAAAGTGTTCTTGCCATTGGTACGCCACTGCAGGCGCAAAGGGGAGTCCAGTCAGTACTATAGACTATAGATTCGAAACGCATTAAGATGCTCCACTCACCGACATACGCGAGCCCTTTGTGAACTCCAGGTAGCGCTTGCCACGTCGCAGGATCCGTGTGCCATTGTTAACTGTCAGCTCGTTGGAGTTGAAATTGTCATAGTGCATGTCAATGTTGTCGCTGCTGTTGTGATGGCTGTCGCTGAGAGCGGACAACCCATTGAAATCGTCGGCACTATGCACAACAGCCGAGCCCATCCAAAACAGAACCAGCATCAGCATCAGCGCTACGGCTGATGGGTGTGCTGACAGGCAAATCAAGGAGCAGCTGCCTCGGCATTTGCGCTTGTTGATTGCTGCACTTGCTAATACACTGCCAGGCGACGACATTATTGATCCAAAAAATGCTAAGCACAATTATTTGACTTGTCTTTCAATTTAATATTAGTCTTTTCTATTTGTTTTCTTTGTGTACATTGTCTGCTCGTTTGTACGACGCGCTTCCGTCCAGTTTTTCCTGGAGACTGATGTGCCCTGGTATTCTTAATCTGTTTGACATAAATACCGGTATAGACCACCACCTCAGCCTCAGCTTTAGTCTCAGTCTCAGTATCGCCCCGACTTCAGCTGAGAGCCCAAGCAGCGCGGCAAACAAACAAAATACCAACAACAACTGAAAGTCGTTGTCCCCTGCCTTTCATAGTTGTTTGTTATTGTTGGCATTGCTTATTTACTTATTTATCGCTTTGTGTGCTGCTCTGACAT